AGGAATTACCAGAGGAAAAAATAGAACAAAACAAAACCCCACCCCCACCAACACTGGCAGGCATACCACAATATGCAAACAGAGAGCAAACCCCATTCCATTCAGCACTGAAGATGTTACCTAGCCAGATAATGAAACATTTGCAAGAAAACAACCAAACTCAGAGAACCCCAAGGACTCCACAGTTCAAGCCCAAGCTACACATATTCATTTCTGTTAATGTCCCCCCCCCCTTTTTTTTTCCCCTGTCTTGCATCATTGGCTTTAGTGAGGTGACAGAAGAGTTGGCAAGGACAGTCTTCATCCTTGATACCCCTTACTTGCTTCAGGATTACGGCTTCTTGACAATATTTATGTAATTTAATTATAGTTAGATAATTAGAAAATGCAGATGAAACAGGCCAGCACATGAACATAGATTGCTGCCAGACTAGCATGCTAACATTGATTGGCTGGCTGATTATATCAGTGCCTGAAAATCCTTTCTTTTCCACTTGCAAGGAAAGCTGCAATGAAATTTACAGTTGCCAAGAAACCCATTTGGTTCAAGACAGAATCAAATATAGTCACAGAGCCCTCATTACATTCTATTATAATTTCCTCAGCCACGGACTGTAGGTCAGCATCTGGAAATAAAGGGTTAGTCTCTAGCCAAACCACACAGATGCCTGCTTAAATAATGGAACAGGAAAGCTGGCCATTGTTTTCCCATATATTTATCTTAGATCCTGGATTAGTGGCCATGAAAGCCATTAATGTAGCGATTTTTTTGCCAACATGCAAGAAAGAGCCACTGAGAAGATGATACCAAGTCATTGCAGGAAAATGTCAGCTATGCTGATGATTACAATATCATGCAAACTTGAATCAACAATACAAGGCCAATTCAACCTAGCTTGAGTAATTTAGTCAGGGTTGGAGATGATGAAAAGGATTTAACCACTATTACAACCAGTGTGCATCAAACACACATATAATTGTTTCACTATAGAATCTTTTCAATTGTATGACTTTTTTTAAAATTATTATTATTTTCTTCTTCTCTCTGTCTCATATGGGAAGGATATAAAGAGTATCTACCAAGAATATGTTTATGTTACACATCAGCATCCTGTGAGGTTGCTATCATCTTCATGTTCTACTCTGCATATGTTATATTAATTCAGTAGTCAAGTTAATTCCCAACTTTGCATCACAGACTCAAATGAATTCATCTCAATATGAAAATCATATTACTCTTCTTTGATGTATATTAATCTGCAAGATTATACCACTGCTTTTCTAACAAAAATTATGATCTGGCCTTTACAAATTACAATTGTACTCTTGTATCTTCATTCACTAAATATGGGCTTCTCCAGTTTGGTGTCCTTTACCGGAATCAGGACTTCAACTTCCAGAACCTCAAGCCATCATTACCGCTATAGTCCCAACATATCAGAAGAGCATAAATATATATCATAAGGGAGAAGGCTAACAAATACAGTTAAATTGGCCCTTGGCTTGTAGAATTAAAGGGAAGTTCACTTTGCGATAATGGCTTATTCTGCAAACTAAGGCCTGCTTAGTCGTTCATATTAAAAAATAAAGGCATTTGATAATATTGTATTGCATTATTATGATCAAATGCATGTATAAATGTTCAAAGTAAATAATACATATGAAGACAAGGCACCTGGTTCCTTATAGCTGAATGGTTAATATTTAATTATCTGATATATTTATGATAAAATATCTATTTATGATAAAATAAATGTATTATACTGTATTCATATACAGGCTTCCCTTACTATATGCAGGGGTTACATTCTCCCAAAACCTCACAAAAAGCACATTTGCATAAGGCAAGACACTGAAGCAGCTGGAGGGCTTCAAACTGGGCAAAGGAGATGCATATACTGGCCCTGGTCCTTTCTCCATGCCTTCCACTAACGGTTCTGAGGGTCAGCTAAACTCATGAGTACTTGAATGCAAGCACTGTTGGATACATGATTTGGGCACTATAAATTAAGATCCAAGTTAATACGGAGAACATGACTTGCATTTAGGGCAGCAAAGCTATTGTCTGTCTCTAAGGGAAGAATCATCTTCCCTTAACACATTAAGATCATGAAAAGTAAGAAATGGGATGGTATGCATGCCTCTTTCTTCACCCAGTTCTCAGCCTTATATGCATTTAGATTAGTCCCTGAAAAAACCTTATATCAGCAATGTATCCTGTAATTAGAACAAAGAAATGTTATCAATGCCCAGAATTCTATGTCATCATCTTTCTGAGATTAAAACCATTTCTTTTTTCCTTTGTGGACATGAATGACTGTCACAAACATACAAACAGAAATTGTCCAGATCAGACAGGATTTTTGTATTCTCAAGGCTCTATCTATCTATCTATCTATCTATCTATCTATCTATCTATCTATCTATCTATCTATCTACCTATCCATCTATCCATCCATCCATCCATCCATCCATCCATCCATCCATCCATCCATCCATCCTTGGGAATACAAATACACACACACACACACACAC